GAGTACAAACTGCCATTTATAAAATTAGTCACAGGGATGTAATAATGTACAGAAGGGAATATAGTTAACAATATTGTATTAACTATGTATGGTGACAAATGGTTACTAGAGTTATCATGGTTACCACTTCATAAGGTATATAAATGTCTAATCACTATGTTGTACACCTGAAGCTAATATAATATTGTATGTAAATTGTAATTAAAAAATGATTACAGGAAGAAAAAAAGATCTCCCAGGTTGATGAATTTTCAGTTTCCACCAGGAAATTTATTGATAATGTCTTTTTTTGGTTGTTATTTTTACAGATTTAATAATATGATATGATAAAAGGTTATCCTGAGGGAAAAAAAGAGTAATATTATGACATCAAAAATGGTAGAGTAAGGACTTCTCAAAATTTTGCCCCATAAAAGAAAACTAACAAAAATTGTGAGGATTAACTTTTTCAGACCTGTAGAAATTAGCAAAGACCTTACAACAACTCAGGGAATGCTTATTCAAGAAAAGTGGCTGTGTGCTTACTTCCGCAGCACAAATACTAAAACTGGACTGATAAGCAGAAGATTAGCATGGCCCTTGTGCAAGAATGACATGCAAATTGCAAATTTGTGAAGCGTTCCATATTTTTCTGAGCACCTCCCCCTCAAAGCAATAAAGCATAAAGAAAGAAAGAAAGAAAGAAAGAAAGAAAGAAAGAAAGAAAGAAAGAAAGAAAGAAAGAAAAAAAGAAAGAAAGAAAGAAAGAAAAAGAAAAAAAGAGAAAGAGGCTGAATTTTGGTAGGAACAGCAAACTCTGTGGTGTTTTAACTTATCCCATTCCCTTTCCTCCACCCCCAGATCCACGGTAGTCTTGAAAACCAAGAGTCTGCAAACAACTCTGAGACCTTAGAAAATACAGTAAAACCTTGGATTGCAAGTAACTTGGTTTGCGAGTGTTCCGCAAGACGAGCAAACATTTCGAATACATTTTAACGTGGTAAACGAGCGATGTCTTGCAATACGAGTAGTTTGTTTCCGGAATGAATTATGCTTGCAAACCAAGGTATTACTGTTCCGGGAAACTTACTGGTTCTAGCCATTCAAGGAACATTCTACCTAGTCATTAGCTGATCACTAAGTTAATGTACTGATCTTTAGTAGCAACATATAACAATGAATACAGACTTCACAGAATTAAGTAAGAAAAGTAACTAAACAAATAACAACAATGAACAGCCATAACAACAAACCCTGGGGAGGGAGGAATCTGGTGTCCGCAGTGCCACATTGTAGTTTAAGTATCCAGTTTGAAGGGCCGGCCGAGTGGCTCAGTTGGTTAAGAGCTCGCTCAAGAGTTTGAGCTCTGAGCAACAGCGGTTCGAGTCCAGCCCAAGCTGAGCAGCCGGTGAGCTGCCAACAGGTAGCAGGATGGCTCAGCTAAAAAAAAAAAAAAAAAAAAAAAAGTATCCAGTTTGAACAAAAAATTATGATATATACAAAGAAAGAAGGAAGAATGGCCCATATGAGAAAAACAAAATCAACAGAAATTATCCTCGAGTAAGTACAGATGTTGGACTTATAGACAAAAACTTTGAATCAGCTATTTTAAATTTGTTCAAAGAACCTTAGGAAACCATGTCTGAAGAAATAAAGGTAAGTATGAGAATGATGTCTCTCTAAATAGAGAATATCAGTAAGGACATACAATTTATTATTATATTTTTAAAAGAACCAAATGGAAATTCTGGAGTTGAAATGTATAATAACTAAAAAAAAAATCGAACTGGCTGAGTGGTGCGATGGTTAAGAACTGGCTTGGGATGCCAGAGGGCCCCGATTTGGATGCCACATATGAGGGCCAGTGACACCGCACTCTACAGCTAGATGCTGAACAACAGCTCAACCTGGAGCTGGGCTGCCATGAATGGCCAGCGACGGCGTAGGCTGCAGCCCCTGCTGCTGTGGGTTGCCATGGGCTACCGTGTGTAGCCAGCAGCCAGAGTGAGCGGCCAGCAGCCGCAGTGAGCGGCCGTCCAGAAGCTGGTGACTGATCTGCCTCGCCTGGGAAGAGTGCAATGATGGTGCCAACTTGGGCCAGTGAAGCAACATCCTCCACAACTAGACTGAAGAACAAAACGACAGCAACTTATCTGTTCCCCTTCCCCCAATTCCCCAGCACGGTTCCCATCCCCCCCAATTCCCCAATAAAAATCTTTTTAAAAAAAATCACTAGAGGGGCTCAACAGTGGATTTGAGCAGTCAGAAGAAAGAATTGGCAAATCTGACTATGGCTCTACTGAGGTGATGCAGCCTATAAAACAGAAAGGGAAAAGAATAAAGAAAAATGAACAGAGCCTCAGAGACCTGTGGGACACCAACAAGCATACCAACATACATATAATGGGAGTTCCTACAGGAGAGGCGAGAGAGGGAGGGCAGAAAGAATATTTGAAGAAAGAACAAAGGAATAAAATAGTAAGAAGGCAGTAACAGAGAGAAGAACAGAAAGGGTGTAAGACATAAAAATATATGCAAACGGCAGATGTAAATCCTACTTATCAGTAATGTAAATGGATTAAATGTTCCAATTAAATGGCAGAAGTTGGTAGAATGCATAGGAAACATGATCCAACTACATGCTACCTATAAGACCCACACGTTAGATTCAAAGACACAAGAAGTTTGAAAGTAAAAGGATAGAAAAAAGAGATACCATGCAAACAGTAACCAATAACAAGATAGACCACATTCAGGTAATAAAACAAGTTGCCATACATTTTTTTTTTTTAAGATTTTATTGGGGAATTGAGGGAAGGGAACAGCGCTGGGGAATCGGGGGAAGGGGAACAAACAAGTTGCTGTTGTTCTTCAGTCTAGTTGTGAAAGATGTTGCTTCACTGGCCCAAGTTGGCATCATCATTGCGCGCTTCCCAGGCGAGGCAGATCAGTCGCCAGCCTCTGGACGGCTGCTCTCGGCGGCTGCTGGCCGCTCACGCTGGCTGCCGGCTACACATGGTAGCTTATGGCAACCCACTGCAGCAGGGGACTGTAGCCTATGCCGTCGCCAGTGACTCACGGCAGCCCAGCTCCAGGTCGAGCAGCTGCTCACCATCTTAGCTGTAGAGGGCAGTGTCACTGGCCCTCATATGTGGGATCCAAACCGGGGCCCTCTGGCATCCCAAGCCAGTTCTTAACCAACGCACCACTTGGCCGGCCCTGCCATAAAATTTAAAACATTGAAATAATACAAAGCATATACTTTAACTACAATGGAATGCATTTAGCATAGTAGGTCTTAGGAAATACCTACTGCATAGAATTTGAAAAACATAAAGTATGCTCCTTCTGGTCTTTTTTTTTTTTTAAGATTTTTTATTGGGGAATCGGGGAAGGGGAACAGACAAGTTGCTTGTCCTTTCGTTCTTCAGTCTAGTTGTGGAGGACTCGCTTCACTGGCCCATGTTGGTATTGTGATCATTGCGCTCTTCTGGGAGAGGCAGATCAGTCGCTGGCCATTGGATGCCCGGTCACAGTGGCTCACTGCAGCTCACATCGGCTGCGGGCCACTCACACTGGCTGCCTGCCACTCACTGTAGCTTAAGGCAGCCCACTGCAGCCCCACTGCAGCATATGCCGTCACCAGTGACTCACCGCAGCCCAGCTCCAGGTTGAGCTGTTGTTCACCATCTTAGCTGTAGAGGGTGCAGTGTCACTGGCCCATGTGGGATCTGAAATGGTAGCCCTGCTGCTCAGCGCTTGCGCTCCCAAGCCAACTCTTAACCAGTGAGCCACTTGGCGGGCCCTTCTGGTCATTTTTACTATCTCACCAGCCCTTCTAAACTTCTGCTGGAAAGAGAATTCCACACACATTGTGACATGAGTCACCAGGCCACCTTACCCGTAGGAGCTATGTCATAGTTGATTTTATGGTGTTTATTTATTGAAAATGGCTCCCTCCCTCCTCTGGAGAGGCAGCATTTTAGGGTAGAAAATGCTTGCCTTCTGGAATCAGACAGCCTGGATGCCAATATCCATTGTCTTAGGCAAGTTGTTTAGTTTCTCTAAGCTTCAGTTGTCTCATCTGTCACACGAGATCATTATACTTGCGTTAAAGATGTAGTGTGAGAATTAAATGAGATACTATGCATAAATCTTCATTTCCTACCCACCTGATCTTCTGTCTTCCTCTTCATGCAAACAACAATGCAGTAGGAAAGAAAACAAATGGGGTCAAGGGGCCTGGAGGAATAGAAATAGGGGAACCAGGAATTGCAATCCCGAGCTAGAATCCCTGTCCTAAATTGTGTAAAATACATGACCCTCATCTATAAAGTGGATATAATGATTTCTGTCTTGTAGGGTTTATAAGGACTAGAAGTGATTATGAGAATTACAAGAGATAACATATTTGACTTGTCTAGCACACAGTAGGTGCCCCATAAGTGGTAGCTATTACTTTTAGCATTTGCCTTTCTCTCGTTTTTGCCTTTCTCTCATTTTTAGGGCTCACCTTGCTCCTCCCCAAACACTATCTGTCTCTCTGTCCCCTACTCCTTCTCTTGAACACTTCTCACCTCCTATAACACCGAATTTTCCTGCACTCTTACCAGAGGGGGAGACACAGAGCTAAAAGAATGGACGGAAATAAATCTAAAGAAACAATTTTGAGAAAACTGTTTAGGTTCCAACATTATTTTTCTGTTTGCGTATGTGTATGAGAGAAAAACCCTCTGTGGAACTGGGATGTCTCCAAGCCCTCCTAGTAAGTCTTGCTCGCCGGGCGGAGTGGACACCTCGGGTCTGGATGAGTCCTCCCAAGGGAGGAACTGCGGGCAGAAGCCGGACTGGATTTCGGCTGTGACTCCCGGCATCTGGGGTTCTCCACCCGACACGTCAGTTTTCTCAGCCGCAGGGTGGCCCTACGAACCCCCGCCCCGCCCCTCCCCGCCCCCGCCTACCCCCGCCCATTGGTTGTGAAAATAATTTGAACCTCCGAGCACTGCTGCTAGTTCGTGACTTGGGAGCGCAGCTGCCGCCGGGTCGCCGCGGGAAGAACCCCGCGCGCGGGCTCCGCCCCCTGCTGGTCCTGCCGCGCCCCCACGTGACTTCCCGAAAGGCCCAGAAACCGCCCTCCCGCCGCTCAGTTTCGTTTTCTTGGGGGCTCTGGGCTCTCGTGCTGCCGTCGCGGCTGCCGTGCCAGCGCTTTCGCGTCGGGTCCTCCTAGGAGCGCCATGGCGGAGCTGTCCCTGGCCGACGAGCTGACGTGCTCCATCTGCTTGGAGCCCTTCAAGATGCCGGTCACCACTCCTTGCGGCCACAACTTCTGCGGGTCGTGCCTGAAGGAGACGTGGGCCGTCCCGGGCGCGCAGTACCTGTGTCCTCAGTGCCGTACCGCGTACCAGGAGCGGCCGCAGCTCCGCAAGAACACCGTGCTGTGCGCCGTGGTGGATCAGTTCCTGCAGGCCGAGCTGGCCCGCGAAGCGGCCGCCGACGGCTGGACGCCACCCGCTCGCGCCGCGGCCCCCAGCCCCGCCGACCAGGTGGCCTGCGACCACTGCCTGAAGGCGGCCGCCGTCAAGACATGCCTCGTGTGCATGGCCTCCTTCTGCCAGGAGCACCTGCAGCCGCACCTGGACAGCCCCGCCTTCCGGGACCACCCGCTGCAGCCGCCGGTTCACGACCTGTTGCGCCGCAAGTGCCCTCAGCACAACCGACTCCGGGAATTCTTCTGCCCTGAGCACAGCGAATGCATTTGCCATATCTGCCTGGTGGAGCACAAGACCTGCTCGCCTGTATCCCTGAGCCAGGCAGGCGCTGACCTGGAGGTAGGGGGGCGGCGGGGGTGGGAGCGGTCGGCGGAGGGCGCGGAGGGGCAGCTTGGGCCTACTGGGTTGCGCCCGGGGCGCCACCGTGAGCATCTTGGTCTACCCTGGATCACCTGGATGGGGGTGGGGCCTTGCTGGGCCTGAGATCCTGGACAGAAGACACAGGTGATGTTGCTTGCCTTAAGTCTAGTAGTTGCCTGATGGCGTTAGTAGAGGGTTTTGAACGCCAACTGTGAGCCCTGGAGGTTACCTCTGTTCCCTCATTAAATCGTGGCAGCACCCAGGAGGTGGATATCATCAGTTCCATTTTTCAGTTAAGGAAAGGAGTTCCGGAGAAGTTATTTAGTCTGAGGAACCCAGTAAGTGGCCAAGTAGGCATTGGGACCTGCTGGTTTGACTCCACAGTGTGCGGTTTCTCCCCAGGACCCAGCTTCATATCCAAGTCTACAGAGTCCAGAGCATAAGACAGACATTCCTGGAGGGTTGAGGTCATGTGAGCAAGAGTTACTGGTGAGCCAGAGAGTTCTAATGACTAGGGAGGATCCCTCCGTGTGGGAGGGTGGGTCTCAGGAATTCTTGGATATGACCCACAGGAAGACTGGTGCTCTTGCACCACAGTGCCCTCCACCCTGGCTGTGAGACTTGGAGCACAGGATTTGGCCCCTGGGCCTGAGTCCTCATCAGTAAAGTGAGGAGGTGGGAGGGACCAGGTGGATTCCTAAGGGGCCTTCCAGGTCTGTGGTGATTTTAGTGGTTTTGGAGCATCGTAACTTCCCCCTGTGGCCTTAAGGCAGAGGCTGAAAAGGTGTAATCATATCACCTTTTGTTATATTAGTTTAAGCTCCAAAGCGTGCCCGGATTTCCTCTTATTTTCACAGCACTGTCAGCTGTCCTCATGTTGTCAAAACAGACAAGGCCTGGGGGAAGTTTGCAGTGGTGTGAGGACTGGGGTGGAGGCCTTGTTTCCATCCCGCCACAGACCCTCGCAGGCCTGGTCTGAGCCGGGCTCCTCTGGGCTTCTTCCTTGAGTCTCAGGAGCCAGACCTCCAGGCACCGCCCGAGAGTTGACCATCTGAGGCCCAGCCATCTGGGTCTCCGACTGTCATAGGGAAGAGCCTGCCCAGCCTTTGGAGCCAGGACCTGCTCTGCCCCGTATCAGCTGTGGTTGAGGGCCAGTCAGTGCAGTTCTGAGCCTAAGCTTCCTCATCTGGAAAAGGGGATTCGTAGCACCCCCGTTTTAGGGAGGCTCTGGAGAGAGGAGCTACCTGGGAAGTGCTTTGCAGGCAGGCCCCAGTGTCAGGCGGAGTGGCTGGCTGACAGGCTCCAGCCAGAGCTGCATGTTGAGACCTGGGTTTGAATTCTGGCTCTGCTTCCTAGCTGGGAAATCCTGAAAAGGGGGACAATAATATTGGGTTGTCGGAAAAGTCATGACGCATTTTGCAACGAAAAACACAGAAAAAAATACGTCTTGACGTTTCCGACATCCCAATAGTGCCTATCTCAGAAGGTGATTGAGAAGACTCACTAAGGCAACCTGTCCACGGCGTTTTACTGTGAATGCTTATTTCTATTACTCCTCCCCGGGGAGAGGGGAGCTGAGCTCGCTAGGCTGTGTCGGGCTGCACAGATGGTTGCCTCAGGGTGCCTGGGCCTGCCCCTGAAAACTAGGGCAGCTCGGCTCCTGCTGAAAGGCCTTTCTAAGAAGCTCTTGACAATGGAGGCCGAAGGCAAGTAGGGGCAGGTGGCCCCTTGTCAGCCTTTCCCAGAGCCTCAGCTTTCTGTCAGTCTCCAGGACCCGGAGCGGGAGTCTGCACCCAGATTGTTTGTGTGCCGAACACACTTGGCTTTTTAATCCTTGTATCAGGCCTTTCCCCTCCGTCTCCCTTCTTTCTCCGTTATCCTGGCTGAGTCCTTTAGCCAATTTCCTTTTCCAGCCCTGCTGCTGCTTACTGCTGGTGGCAGAGCCAGGCCCAGCTGGGCAGCGCCCCAGCCTTGGGTGGCTGACTGGTCTCCGTCACTAGTGCAGGTCAGACACAGGACTCTGGTGCCTCCTATGTGGAGGACCCAAGTCTCCAGTCTGTGAAGGGATCCTCAGAACTTCAAAAAGCTCTTTACCCTTGTTTAGGGGATTGTTGTGGCGATCGAAGTCCTTGGGCCACTTGCCTTTTTTTCTGGAGTGGTGTGGGCCCCTGTCCACCATCAAGGGACTGTCATGTGTTTGATTAATATTAGATAAAATCTTTTAAAATACAGAATTTAGGAATTCACTGTTAAGAGAGGCTCTCAGAGGTGAAAGACTTGGCAGCCCCCTGATGTTCCAAGGCTTCTTCCAGCTCTGAGACCTGCTAGGCCAGGCCTGCCTGGACCTGGCCTTCAGCCTTTGGCCCAGTTTATCTTGGCCGTTGTTAGAGGCCAGGTCAAAGGGTGTTGTCACAGAGGTTGAATCTGAAACATCTTTAGTGACCTGGGCTTTCAGGGTCGAGTTAGTGTGTGGCCTTGGACTCTGCTTCTGCCCTTACATGTGATTGTCACTGGGTTGTTCAAATCCAGGTTCAAGGTCATGTTTAGCCCTGAATATCTCTAGTGGAGTGGGAGAGGCAGGAAAGGGGAAGGGAGGGCCAGAGTATGTTGAGCCAGCTAGTTAGGGGAAGTAAATGTTTTTTCGTAGAAATTTCCAGTGTGGTCAGTTTTGATGCATGTCAATAATTTTAACACCAGGATCTTGTAACACCAGTTAATAGCTGCGTGACCTGGGTCAAAGCAGTTCATTACTCTGTGCTTTAATGTCCTCATCTATAGAGGGCAGGTAACTCCTACCTCATAGTTTTGTTCTGAGCTTTAAATAAGTTAATACACGTAAAGCACTAGAACAATACCTTGGCTTGTAACAAGCACATAATAAATACTAGCTGCTTTTATGACTGGTGGTGGTGGTCTTTTTCCTTCTCATATCTGTGTCCCAACATCTCACCTGAGCAGGGAGGTTTGGGACTCAGATATTGATTATGAAGATTTATAGAAATTCTAAGAGGCCTCAGATGGTATTATCTTCCTTCATGCGTAATTGACCTTTGTGTATGGAGGTGGCTAGGGGCCTAGCAATTTGGAATCACTTTAATTCAGTTTCAGGTATTGAGCTGACAGTGGGCTGGTTTACTGCTGCTTCGTCCTTAATTCCTAGGGTGTGGCCCTTGGAGGTCCCTACCTGTGGGGCTTACCAAGTGAGCCTTGGGCTCTGATTTTTGTCCCCCTGCCTTCCTGAGGTTGACAGAGGCTCTCTGGCAGCTCTTCCGGAATTGGCATATGGCTCTGGGAGAACAACCCCAGATATCAGGCTTATCTCTCTCTGTGTTTTCTTCTTCTGGACCTTGGCTCTGTACTCCTTCCCTGCTTTGTTAGCTCTCCATTATCTTTTAGCAGATTTTCCCCCCACCTCACCCTCTCATATTTTGTCTGCTTTTCTAGTTGTTTGTAGTGGGAGGCGTGGCTCGAGTGACCTCATCTGCCATTACTGAAGCAACTGTCCCAGCTTGTTCTGTCTGTGTGTGAGCGTGGCCACCTTGCTGTCCTCCTTGCCTCAGTTTCATCACCTGTAAAATGGGTCCTCGTGAAAAACTCATAATAATACAAGCTGACATTTAGTTTGTCCTTACTAAGATCCAGGCACTGTGCAGAGGACTTCCGTTGTTTCAGTTAATCCTCCCACTAGCCCTGTGAGGTGGGAACAGTTGTATCTATTTGGTGGCCAAGGAGATTGAGGCAAGAGACACTTGGACAGCTGGGAATTGGGACTGGAACCCTGGTCTGTCTGGCTCCAAATCCTATACTTGTAACTTCTTTACAATACCATCCCCCTAAGAGGATGTGGGGAGGAGTAAATGTGAGAATGCTTTAAAGAGCTTCATGCAGTCAAGACTTGGGGTGGTGGAAACACCTGTGGGATAGATTCAGGGGGCAGTCGCTGGTGTTGGGTGCTGATGGGAGAGTGGGCTGAGATGTTCTCTAGCCCTGGTTTGTTTTCTCCACAGGCCGAGCTAAAGCATAAGATGACCATCATGTACAGTCAGATCAACGGTGCATCGAGAGCGCTGGAAGATGTGAGAACCAAGCAGCAGGAAGTGCGGGTGAGTGACAGGGCTCTCCACCACCAGCCCTGGCCCAGGGGCCTCCCTCGGCCTCTAGGCTTGACAGGCTCAGCTCTGACCTCCACAAGGCTCATGTTCATTCACAGTGTCATAATTCAACGTCAACCATGTAAAACATGCAAGAAGCTACGTGCCTAGGAGAGATCCTCTGTAGACCCAAATCCAAGACTACCTACAAGCCCAACCTCAGGGGAATCATTAAAAATTAGGATTGAAAAGAAGTGATTATGATTTAAGTAGGAGAAAAACAGGAAGCAGAAGTGTATACCCACTAGAGTTGCAGCTGTTCATAAAAAGGAAGTATATTTGTTTTCGAGGGCTACACTAATAAATTACTACAAACTTGGCTTACAACAGTATAACTGTGTTCTCTCCCAGTTCTGGAGGCTGGAAGTCCGAAATCAATGTGTCAGCCACATTCCTTCCAAAAGCTCTAGGGAAGAATCCTTCCTTGCCTCTTCCAATTTCTGGCGGCTCGAGCCTTCCTGGGCTGTGGCTGCATCAGTCCAATCTTTGCCTCTGTCTTCACATGGCCTCTTCCTCCCTCTGTCTTTAACAAGGACATTTGTCATTGGTTTTAGGGCCCACTTGACTAATCCAGGGTGATCTCATCTCAAGAGTCTTACGTTAATTACATCTGTAAAAACTTTCTCTAAGTAAGGTCACATTTACAGGTTCTGGAATGTGACATATCTTTGTGGGGGCCACTATTCAACCCATTACAAAAGTATAGGAAAAAAGACTGGAAGGAAGTATATTAAAAGGACAGTGGTGCGAGTGTTGGAGTGGTAGAATTAGGGATGGTGTTTTCCTTTAGTTTTTATAATTTTTATAAGGTTGCATTGCTTTTATATTGAAAGAGGATTTGATTTTTATTAATAAATACCCAGGTCTGGAGTTGCAGCATCCCAGTTTTATTGTGGCAGCTGTGGCTTAAGGAGACAAGATCTGGGTTAAATACCATCTCTGTTACATACCAGCCTGTGATACTTTGGCTATGTCGGTAGATCTCTTCCCATCTGCACAAATGGGATCACAACTTATTTTTGAAGACGACTGAAACTTAAAGGAAAGGACGCACATGAAAGTACCTGTGTTGATTGGGGACCAGGCTAACCTGCTGAAACAAAGACACGCCCAAAATTCAGAGGCTTAAATAAGATAGACCTTTCTTTTGCTCACTGGCATAGTTCAAGGACAGACATGAGCAACCCAGACTAGTGGGATGGCTCTGTTCCGCGTGATCATTCAGCAAGTCCCAGTCTTTTTTCCTTATTGCCTCACTATTCCGTAGGGTGTTTCCTCATATCTTTGGTTGAATCTAGGTCATCATTACATCTTTGTTGCAGCCTGCAAGAAATGAGACAAGGAAGAAGAGTATTACATGTAGCAGTTTTGCTCATGCTGCATTAGGAACAGCTTAGTCACATGACCAAGCCTAGCTGCAAGGGAGGCTGAGAAATGTAATCTGTGGGCTGGGCAGCCATGCGCCCATCTGAGACTCCCGGGGTATTCTTAGTCTAAGGAAGAGGAGGAGAATGAACACTGAGGGACTTTGGTAGTCACAATGAGGTGGCAGAGTAAAGGGTTTGGTAAAGAAATAACTGAATTTCATTATCCCTGTATACTGCCCCTCTCATGTGTGTTTCTGTTTGTCATATTTGATTCTGATCTAGCTAGAACCATGCTATCCAATAGAAATATAACATGAGGGCCGGCCGAGTGGCGCGATGGTTAAGAACTTGCTTGGGATGCCAGAGGGCCCCGGTTCGGATCCCACATATGAGGGCCAGTGACACTGCCCTCCACAGCTAAGATGCTGAACAACAGCTCAACCTGGAGCTGGGCTGCCGAGAGTCGCTGGCGACGGCGTAGGCTGCAGTCCCTGTGGCAGTGGGTTGCCATGGGCTACCGTGTGTAGCCAGCAGCCAGCGTGAGCGGCCAGCAGCCGCAGTGAGCGGCCGTCCAGAAGCCGGCGACTGATCTGCCTCGCCTGGGAAGAGCGCAATGATGGTGCCAACTTGGGCCAGTGAAGCAGCGTCCTCCACAACTAGACTGAAGAACAAAACGACAGCAACTTGTCTGTTCCCCTTCCCCTAATTCCCCAGTACTGTTCCCATCCCCCCAATTACCCAATTAAAAAAATAAATAAATAAAAAAAAAACAACAAAAAAAAAACTGTATCAGGTCACAATTTAATTAAAAAAAAAAAAAAGAAATATAACATGAGCTTTATCTGTAGCTTTAAATTAATTTGAATATCATGTGAAATTAATTTTAGTAATACATTTTAAGTTAGTGCAATCAAAAATGATCATTTCAACATAATAAAAAAGTATTAATAAGGTATTTTATAGTGCTTTTTTTATACTAAGTTTTTGAAAGCCAGTGTGTGTTTTACACTCACAGCACGTCTTAATTTGGACTAGCCACATTTAAAGTGCTCTGTAGCCACATGCAGCAAGTGGCTATGGCATTGGACTGTGCAGTTCTCGAGTATGATATTCTCCAGAAATTTTCTAGAGCAGCTTTATATCCTTTCTTTTAAAAGAAAATTACCCATGAACTGCTTCCCAGCTTAAGAAAGAAAATATCACCAATGCAGATAAAACCCCTACTCTGCTTCTCCCTTTTTATAACCCCCTTCCTGTCTTCCAGAAGTAACTACTATCCCGAATTTATTCATTCATTTCTATGGATTTCTTTATACGTCTATTACGTATGTATACATCCCTTTAGCAATAAATACTACCATTCTGTTTCTTTCTAAGCTTTATATAAACAGCATCAGTACTCTGTGTCTTCTTCTACATGTTGTTTTTCCCTCGTGGAAATTTAGCCATGCGTTTCCCCAGTTCATTACTTTTCATTACTGTTTAATATTCCATCCTATGAATAATATGCCGTCTATGTATTCAGTCTCCTGTTTCCAGGCTTTTGGTAATTCAAACAATGCCGTATATGAATGTCTCTGGGGCAGGTGTGTGAGAATTTTTCTAGAGTATATTCCTTGGATTGCGTTATTGGGTCCTAGGGTATGAGTACCTTCAAATTTTCTGGATATTGCCAAATTACTCTCCAAAGCGGTGGTGCCCCTTTGTACTCCCACGAAGTACAGGTAAGCAATTCTGGTGCTCCACCTCTCACCAGTGCTTGGTCCCGGAGGCTTAGCCTTTGGCCGGTCTGATGGATGCCTTCTTATCTTGGCCTTCCTAGGAGGCTGCACAAAGAAAGATGGAGCAGCTCAGACAAGACTACTTGGAAATGAAGTCTCTCATTGAAGCTTCAGAGGTCAACGCCATACGAAAGATAAAGGACGAGGAGAAGAGGGTCAGCAGCAAGTTTGACACCATTTACCAGATCCTTCTCAAGAAGAAGAGTGAGATCCAGACTGTGAAGGAGGAGACTGAACTTGCCCTGACTAAAGGGGATGAGTTTGAGTTTCTGGAGGTGGGTTGTGAGGAGGCTATTGCTGAACACTCTTCCTGCCTAATAGTATTATGTTGATTATAGAGGCATTCGGGCCTCAAGGAGTGGGGGCTGTGAGAGGTCGTTGGAAGCACCGCTGAGACACACTGTGTTTTCTATGCTGCGTGACAGCTTACCACCAACGCAGTGGCTTAGAACATACATTTAGTATCTCACACTTTCTGTGGCTCAGGGGTCTGGGCGTGTCTTCTGAGGGTCTCACAGGCTGCAGCCTGAGTGTTGGGGCTGCATTCCTTTTGGAGCTTAGGGTTGTTTTCCAAATTCATAGGGTTGTTGGCAAAATCTAGTCCCCTGTGGTACAGGACTAAGGCCCCCGCTTTCTTGCTGGCTGTCCACTCTCAGCTCCTAGAGGCTGCTGCAACTCCTTGCTATAAGGCCCTCTCCCAACCTGGCAGCTTACTTCTTCAAAGCAGTGGGGCATTTCTCTTTCCAGGAAGGCCCAGTCCCTCTTTTAAGTGCTTTTACCTGTTTGAGTCTGACCCACCCAGGAGACTCATCTTTTTGATGGACTCAAAAATTAACAGATTTGGGATCGTAATCTGCAAAATGTCTTCAGTTTTGCCATATAATGTAACTTAATCACTGGAGTGACATCCTGTCACATTCACATTCACCATTCTGCTTATTTTCAAGGGGAGGGGATTACGTCGGATGTGTACCTCAAGGGGTGGGAATCTTGGGGGTCATCTTAGAATGTTGCCTACTGCATACGCCTCTGCCCTCTTCTCCCCGTGCCTCCTCTGTAATACCCCTGGGAGTGTCTTTCAAAAGTCCAGACCCCCCACCCCCACCCTTGCTGACTTCGTGTTCCTTAGCATGACCTACAAGGCCCTTGATGACCGGGCCCTGCCTTGACCAGCAGCCTCATCTCTTGCCATTCACCCCCAGCCCATGCTCTGTGCTCTGACCACAGCGGAGCACTCACCATTCCCCCAACATACCAGATGGGAATGCCTTGACTGACCTCTGCCTATTGAATCCTGTGCTTTTTCCAGGGTCATTCCAGCTTCCCCGTCTTCCCTGGGTCCCATTATTCTGCTATTACTGATGGTCCAGAGCATGTTACACTGCCTCTGCCGTAGTACTCAATGACGTAGTTTTTGATGTGCTTGTTTCCATGCCTGTTTAGGCTGTCAGCTCCTTTCGGGCGTGTCTCATCCTTTATTATCCTCTTCTTCCTCTTGGCATATCCAGCGCCTAGCAGGGTACCTAGCATGCAGTGGGTGTTCCAGTGAGCTCCCCTGCTTGGTGACATGCTATGACCCCTCAAAGGCCCAGATTCTTTGGTCAGGTCCTGGGGAAGGTACAGGAGTGACCGGGAACCTTCTGTCCTTGTGTGGACTTCTGCTCATGTAGGCTGGATGGCATTAAGTTTCATCTCACGTGCCCATTCCTGTTTGCTGGAGTAGCTGCCTCGAGCTCTCTGAGAAGGATTCTGAGTCCACGTCTGAGCCCCTTGATACTATGCGACCTGATTTTGTCTCAAAGTTTGGGACCTTCTCTAGGACCCTTCCTTTTTGTCGGATGTGCTCTGGCTGAACCCTGAACCCTTGAGACTTCCCTGTCCATATTCAGAGCATGTGTTCAGAGCTGGCTCTCAAGGGATGAAACTGGCCCTGAGTCTCTTATACTGTCTCTAGCCATGGGGGTTGGGAGATCTGGGTCCCAACTTTGTCCCTGCCATTTAATTGGCAGAGTTCCTGGCAGACTCCAGTTTTCCCACCTGTCATGTGAGCAACCCCTGAGGGCCCTTCCAGCTCCAGATTACTGTCTTAAAGTGGCAATTTAACACACACACACACAC